CACGTTGCGAGTGATTATTGAAAGATATGAATTAATTGTCATCATGTTTCCTGTGAAGATGTTGTTTTTATAGATTGTCCCTGTAAATTTCTGTTGTATATCACTCTTGGGGTCTTTCTCCTTTTATAGAACCCCCCTTAATTTTTCTTGCAGGGCCGGCTTAGTGGTAACATATTCTTTCAGTTTCTGCCGGTCGTGGAAGCTCTGCGTCTCTCCATCCATTCTAAATGAAAGCCTTGCTGGATAAAGTATTCTTGGCTGCATGTTCTTCTCATTTAGTACCCTGAATATGTCTTGCCAGGCCTTTCTGGCTTGCCAGGTCTCTGTGGATAGGTCTGACATTATTCTGATGTTCCTCCCTCTGTACGTAAGGGAAGAGTGTCTTTCTTCTAGTATATGTCTGTATAAAATCCCACGGATGAAATAGAATCTGTGGTTGCCCATGTGCTGTGATTGGCAGGCCCATGAAAGCATATGGAATGGGGAAGGAACAGTTTCCCAAAGGAAGGGTTGGCTGTTACCACAGAGGAAGGAATGCAGGGAGTCAAAAACAATAGGTATTTACTACAGGTGTTGAGGAATAGAGGACAGGAGGCATAAACTATTCTTTAAGGTTATAAAAGGTGACTTAGGGGTGTCTGGGTGCTCAGTTGGTTGGGCATCTGCTTTCAGCTCAGGTCATCATCCCAGGGTCCTGGGATCGAACCCCACGTCGGGCTCCCTGCTCAATGGGGAGCCTACTTCTCCCTCTCTCTGCCTCCTGCTCCCCCTGCTTGTGCTCTCTCTTGAATAAATAAATTTTAAAAAAATCTTTAAAAGATGACTTAATTTTATTTTCTTAATCATTGATTTTTATAGAGTATGCAAGCTGCAAGATGTCCTACAGATGAATTATCTTTAACCAACTGTGCAGTTGTGAATGAAAAGGATTTCCAGCCTGGCCAGTGAGTATCTAACTTTGTTTTCTCCTGACCTGCCAAGTGGTATTTTAGAAACTTCTAGGGAGCTCTTATATTTTAGGAAACTTGAGAATAATTTTTTAATTCCTCTTGCTGAGTTGGAAAATGGAAGAGATGAGAGTTACGTATTTTAGTCTTTACTATGTTAAACTTTGATTAATAGGTTTTAAAAATCATACATAGCTTTTTATGTGTAACTTTTATTTTCATCAACTTTCTTAGCAGAACTAAACATACTGGTTATATAAATCATACATAGCATAGTCATTAGGATTTTGGTTCTGGAGTGAGATTGTCTGAGTTTGGATTCTGGCTCTGCCAGTTACAAATTGGGTGACCATGGATAAGTTTTATCTACCATCTCTGTGCCTCTATGTCCTAATCTGTGAAATGGGGATGATGATAATGTCTTCCTCAGGGTAGTTCGGCAGATTGACTTATACAAATAAAGCATTTAGAACAGTGCCTTGCACATTAATAAGTCCTCAATAATTATTAGCTATTTCTTTAAAGATTTTATTTATTTATTTATATGAGAGAGAGAGCACAAGTGAGGGGTGGGTAGAGGGAGAGGGACAAGCAAACCCACCCTGAGCAGGGAGCCCGACTCGGGGCTCAATCCCAGAACCCTGAGATCATGACCGGAGCTGAAGGCAGCTGCTTAACTGACTGAGCCACCCAAGCGCCCCAATAAATATTAGCTATTTTGGTAACTGTTACTATGATAATCTAAAGGACATGAAAATTGGAAGATGCACAACAAAGTATAAGTATTTACTTATAAGTATGGTTTTGTTGTCATTTATTTTAACCGATTCACATCACCCACTGCCAGAATTTCTAAAAGCCCTACTACCAAGCTCAGTGCCACCCATATGCTGAGGCTGGTAGAGGTAAGGAGATAAAGTCGTCCCACCAGAAGGCAGACTGGGGAAATAAGGAACAATAAGGCAGAATTTTAACTGAGCCTTAAAAAAAAAAAAAAAAAACTCTGTAAAATCCAGGAGTTTTACAAAGTTAGAATTACTAATTATCTGTAGTTTTCAGCTTTAGAATAAGGCGCTGCACTACATGATTGCAGTAATATTGTTTCTTGTCCTAAAAATTCTTTGATACTAAGTTGAATACAGAACTTTCTATGTATAAACTGGGGTATAGATAATCAGTGTAAGAATTTGTTTATGGAAATCTCTTATATTTGTCAAATGTTCACCATACTCATGATGGAGTTACTTGAAATATAGCAGATATAAGGAACATGTGTTGTGACAAAATGGTGTATATAGAAACATTAACCATTAATGTTTAAAAAGTCATAGCTTTTTTTTTTTTAAGATTTTATTTATTTGAGAGAGAATGAGAGATAGAGAGCACGAGAGAGAAGAGGGTCAGAGGGAGAAGCAGACTCCCTGCTGAGCAGGGAGCCCGATGCGGGACTCGATCCCGGGACTCCAGGATCATGACCTGAGCCGAAGGCAGTCGCTTAACCAACTGAGCCACCCAGGCGCCCCAAAAGTCATAGCATTTTAAAAATAGTTTTTTAAAAAGATTTTCTTTATTTATTTGAGAGAGAGAGCGAGCTAGTGAGAGAGAACATGAGTAGGGGGAGGAGCAGAGGGAGAGGGAGAAGCAGACTCCCGGTGAGCAGGGAGCCCAACTTGGGGCTTGCTCCCAGGACCCCAGGATCATGACCTGAGCCGAAGGCAGATGCTTAACTGACTGAGTCACCCAGGAGCCCCTCTAAAAGATGATTTTAAAACAGATAGTGCTGTTGCAAAATAGAGTTTGAAGCTTTTATCACACATACAGTCCATGGCAATTTCTCGTTGTAGGAGGTTATCATGAGATGACTATATTTTGTCTATTATGGGTAACTTCTGAGCAGAATGAATTAGCACAAAATGCTTTGAAATAATAAATATTGATATCTGTATGAAAGCTGATGTGTTTTGTGACAATTTTTTATTTTTACCATCTTTTTAATTTTAGAGGTTGTTACTGTTTCAACTATTGTGAGAGCCTACAGAGATTTAATGAATAGTACTAAAACTAACTTTTTTTGGACTGTTATATCCTGGTTCTTCTATCTTTGGTTCTCCTCCCTTTATTCTATTTAAGGTGTGAAATAATTCCCAGGAGAGGAAATTCATCTAATTTTTACTTAATATCTAGGACTCTAAATCATTGTCTTCAGTTTTATGTAAACTGGAAATGTAATGGTGTTGCTATTTTGACTGGTATGTACTCTCTTGAACTTGATCCTGATTTTCCTTGATGTGTGCTTGGCCCAAGGTTATGCCTGGAAAACATTTTGAATTGCTGACAGTTTTGAGAAATGAAATTTGTGGTTCTGTTCCTTCAGCATTCTCAAATACTCTGCCATGTTTCCACCTGGTACTCATCAAGCATCAGTTGTTGGAAATGAACACATGCAGTGGAATTGATGTTTTTTATTTCCTTTGACATGGAGCCCTAACTATGTTTCTGTCTTTCAGGCATGTGATTGTGAGGACCTCTCCCAACCACAGGTACACATTTACATTGAGGACCCATCCATCGGTGGTTCCAGGGAGCATTGCGTTCAGCTTACCTCAGGTAACTTAGATGCTAATTTATTCTCTTCCATTCTTTTTTTTTTTTTTAAGATTGTATTTATTTATTTGACAGAGAGAGATAGCGAGAGAAGGAACACAAGCAGGGGGAGTGGGAGAGGGAGAGGCAGGCTTCCCGCGGAGCAGGGAGCCCGATGCGGGGCTCAATCCCAGGACCCCGGGATCATGACCTGAGCCGAAGGCAGACGCTTAACGACTGAGCCACCCAGCCACCCCTGTTCTCTTCCATTCTTGAAAGTCCTAGAAAAATCAATTCATATAAAGCAAACTTCATCCTGGAACTGAATTGATTCATGTGGAAGAAAAACATCTAGGTATTTATATAAGGAATTTAAAGATACATTCTTTTTTTTCTTAAAGGGAGGTGGGACAGAGGGAAAGGGAGAGAGAGACTCATAAGTAGGCTCCACACCCAGTGCGGAGCTTGACACAGGGGCTTAATCTCACAACCCTGATCCTGACCTGACCCGAGGTCAAGAGTTTGATGCTTAACTGAGCCACACAGTTTCCCCTAAAGATACATTCTTTTATTTTTTTTTAAAGATTTTTATTCATTTTTTTGAGAGAGAGACACAGAGAGCACATGCATGCACGAACAAGGGGAAGGGACAGAGGCAGAGGGAGAAGCAGGCTCCCCACTGAGCAGGGAGCCCAATGCAGAGCTCGATTCCAGGACTGGAGGATCATGACCTGAGCTGAAAGCAGATGCTTAACCGACTGAGCCACCCAAGCACCCCTAAAGATACATTCTTAATTATGAGTTTTACTATGTTTGCCTTTTATTGCTTTGATTTTTTTCCCAATTTTTAAAAAAATTCTGTGGTAATATCAGTTAGCTATCAGATAAAGTCTCAAGTTATTTTAATGTTAACTCATAGGGTAACAGAAAATATATAAAAATAACATTTATAAGGGGCTCCTGGGTGGCTCAGTCAGTTGAGCGTCTGCCTTCAGCTCAGGTCATGATCCCAGGATCCTGGGATCAAGTCCCGCATCAGGCTCCCTGCTCAGTGGGGAGCCTGCTTCTCCCTCTCCCTCTGCCTGCTGCTTTCCCTGCTTGTGCTCGCTCTCTCTGTCAAATAAAAAAATAAAATCTTAAAAAATAAATTTGTAAAATTGACATCTAACAATAGTGATTTTTTTTAAAGTGCAATGATGTCATGCTAATGAATATGGTATGAATAGTTGCTGTCTCATTACAATGTAACTTCCTGGGCTTCCTAAAGAGTGGAAGGATTATGATTACATTTATGACTGTTGATGGATTCTGTGGCGGGAAAACTGCCTTGCACTGTTGCAGTGCATACAGGGAGTAATACATACTTGAAGAGCACTGCAAGTACTAGTCTGTCTCCTTTACTCCCTTATCATCTTACTTGTGCTACTTATCCCACAGTCCTCAGCAATGTAATGCAACCCCTACCGTCTAGTATGCTAATAAGCATTGATTTACTCCCCTGGAGGTTGAAGGAAAGAGATCAAACACTCTTCAGGGATCTATTGAAGGTCTCTTGAAGCCCTCAAAAATTATGGGAGATCTTTACTCACAATTCCCCTTTTCTCTATTTGGATGCCTCTTGATTATCAGGACTACTATTCTAGGTACTTTTGCATGTATTAGCTCATTTAATTCTCAAAACAACCCCATATGATAGATACTATTATTGTCATCCTTTGAGTCTGTCTTTGGGATTGAAGTACAGAACCTCATTGTGGCTGCTTTGTGACCCAAAGTCTGGACTTACCCAGCATGCTGCTAAATTTCTCATTGGCCAGAAGTGAGATGGGATATTACGGAAGAGGGCATGAAGGGCAGAGAGGAGGGAGAAGCATCCTGTGCTGAGAGAGCTACAGGGGAAAGCAGGTGTTGCACATATTCACAGTGCAGCCTCTTCACCATCCACCTGCAAATCTGCACTGCTTGATGAGTAGACAAAATGTGGATTTTCAGCCAAAAATTATTTTTCCCACTGTTCTTTGAAGTGTTATCAGTAGTGACTAATTTTGAATCCATACCAAGCCAGTCCTAAAATCCTCCCTAAACACAATCTGGCCTGCCTCCATATACTCTTGCCGTTGTAACCAGTCTGGATCTGGGAGAAGCCAAAGTCTAGTTGCAAATGCCTGAAAATCCTTTGGCTAGTACAAAGAGTAATCAGGACCATCTAACGATTGGAATCACTGCTTGGGTTTCAAGCTAGATTAGCTGACCAGCTTTAATTTAGTTTTCATGAATTGAGTGTCTTTCTTTTTGAGATATTATAGCAAACGATATAAGTAACCATAGTACATTTAGAACACCGAAATATTATCTGATACTATGAAGGCCTTCAGGAGCAATGTAGTGTGCAAAGAAGCATCCTACTCAGTGATACCAGTTTTATTGTACAAAGGCAAGCTTTGTATGTTTTCAGAGAGATGTTCAGATATAAACTATAGCATATAAGTATGTTTCCTAGGGATGCCTGGGTGGCTCAGTCAGTTAAGCAGCTGCCTTTGGCTCAGGACATGATCCCAGGTTCCTGGGATCAAGCCCCACATCAGGCTCTCTACTCAGTGGGAGCCTGCTTCTCCCTCTCACTGCTCCTCCCCTTGCTTGTGCTCTCTCTCTCTCTCTCTGTCAAATAAATAAATAAAATCTCTAAATAAATAAATAAATATGTTTCCTAGGGCCACTGTACAAAGTACCACAGAGTGGGTGGCTTAAATTTATTCTCTTGCAGTTTGGGAGTCTAGAAGTCTGAAATCAAGGTGTCAACAGGGCCATGCTCTGTCCGAAGGCCTTAGAGAAAAATCCATGCTTAGCTTCTGGTGTTGCCAACAACCTTTGATGTTCTTTGATTGGTAGATGTGTCACTTCAGTCTCTGCCAACACCATCACATGACTTTCTCCCCATGTGTCTGTCTGTCTCTTTTCTTCTTGTAAGGACACTGGGGTCATATTGGCTTATGCCTACCCTAATTTGATAATGACCTCATCTTACCTTGATTGCATCTGCAAAGACCCTATTTCCAGATACGGTTGTATTCCCATGTGCCAGGGGCTGAGACTGCAACATGTCTTTTTGTGGAACACAGTTCAACACACAACATTAAACCACATTTTGATCTTTGAATGTGTTCCTGTTACTAAAATTCATAGAAATCCCTCTTTTCCTCATTTCTCTAATTTTGATTGATTTGATTTTAAGTTTCTTTTTTTTTCTTTTATTTTACAGCGAAAATGGGCTGGACTTTCTATTGGGCAAGAAATAGAAGGTAGGTATGTTTTTAGCTGCCTGATGTAGATTTTCTTTATGAGTTTCTAATGGTTGTGGATATCTGTAAAATTTTCTATTACTGGTTGTCAGGCCATTAAACATTGATCCTATTTAAGTTACTGGTTAGATATATGAGAATGGAAAAGTAAATAGTTATGGTACTTACTTCTTGACTTGCTATTCTGCCTGAAAATTGCAACCTAATGGGGGAAAGAATATCCACTTATTCATAGCTCACAGAAAAGTGTACAGGGCAAATAAGTGCACAGGTATTACCACTGGGAGCTCTTTGTGAAAGTGCTAAGATAGAACAGGAGTGAATGAATTGATTGGAGACTGGAAAGTCAGCCAGAGAAATCTTCTTAGGCACTGGAGTTTTGAGCATGATTATGAAGTAGGGGGAAAGCATTACATAGTGGAGATAAGGAAGAAAGACTCTTAAGATGAGAAATAATATCAATAAAAGGCATTCATATGGGAGCAAGCAAATCATAGGCAGTGCTCAGGAAGTATGTTTGCGTGATTGAAAGGATTTACCTGAATGAGTTCTATTAAATGATGAGAGTATGCAGTTAGTGGAGGGCCTAAAAGTATATACTGGAAATTTTGGATTTTATTCAAAGACACTTGAAAGCTCCTGAGAATTTCTGAATTGAGCCCATCAAAATCCTAACTTTAGAAAAGATTCTGATGTCAGGTGCCTGGGTGGCTCAGTTGGTTAAGCGACTGCCTTCAGCTCAGGTCATGATCCTGGAGTCCTGGGATCGAGTCCCACATGGGGCTCCTTGCTCAGCAGGGAGTCAGCTTCTCCCTCTGACCCTCTTACCTCTCGTGCTCTCTATCTCTCATTCTCTCTCTCTCAAATAAATAAAATCTTTAAAAAAAAGATTCTGATGTCAGTGTGGAGGATAGTGAGGAAAGGGGAGAATTCAGGAGTTAAGGAAAATAGCTTGGAGATCATTTGACTTGCCTAGACTTAAGTTGAATAGGACTTTGGGAAATTATGGCTATGGAAAAATTCTTCTAAAAGTCTAAGATGTATTGGGGGCGCCTTGGTGGCACAGTTGGTTAAGTGTCCGGCTCTTGGTTTCGGCTCAGGTCGTGATCTCTGGGTCATGAGATCGAGCCTGCCTTGGGCTCTGCTCTCAGTGTGGAGTTTGCTTGAGATTCTCTTTCTTCCTCTGCCCCTCCCACTTGGGCTCTCTCTCTCTCAAATAAATAAATCTTAAAAAAAAAAAGTCTAAGTTATGTTGAAGAGAAATAATTGGTATTACTTGGTGATTCCATTTTACTGTATACTGAGATATGTTTTCTTCTGTGTTTGTTTGGAAAGATAAATCATTTAAGCAAATGCTATCCTTTTTTAAATTTTTATTTTGAAGATTTATTTATTTTAGAAAAAGCACATGCGTGCATGCAAGCAGGAGAGGGGCAGAGGCAGAGGGAGAGAGAAAAGCCTCAAGCAGACTCCCCACTGAGTGGGGAGCCTGATGTGGGGCTCAGTCTCATGACCCTGAGATCATGACCTGAGCCAAAACCAAGTGTCCAGTGCTTAACCAACTGAGCCACCAGGCACCCCAAATGTGCTTTTTTTAATGAAGTGTGTATCAAGTCACCATAGTTCATTTGGGAAGGGCGTGGAAAGCAGCTTCTGACTTCAGGAGGAAAAAAAGACTAAGCTACTTGTGGATTATAAGCCAAGAAGCTGATAAGCAAAAACTGGCATTGTCTCTTAGGCACTGTGGCAAATTGAGAAAATGGGGTATGAATCTTCTTGTCAGATAGTTTCCTGTCAATTTCATGGGTACAGCCGGAGAAGGAAAGAAGCAGCAAGTATAATTAAGTCAGGTTTTTTTCTGCTTGCTTTTCTTTTTTAAAAATATTTTAAAGATTTATTTATTTGAGAGAGTGTGCATGAGTGGGGGGAGGGACAAAGGGAGAGAATCTTCAAGCAGACTCCCCTATGAGCGCAGAGCCCGACCCAGGGCTCAATGCCATGACCCTGAGATCACGACCTAAGCTGAAATCAAGAGTTGGACGCTCAATCGACTGAGCCACCCAGGCGCCCCTTTCTGCTTGCTTTTAAAACCTAAAAAATTTCTTATTTATGAAAAATTTGCAAAAATAAGAGAATCCCTATATTACTACTTTTACCCAGATTCACCAATTATCATATTTTTAAAATTCATTCTCTCTCTACACACATGCCTGCATACACACATTTTTTTTCTGAACCACTTGAGATTAAGTTGCAGATATCATTCCTCTTTACATCTAATACTTTATTATGTATTTCCTGAGAACAAAGATGCGCTCTTACAGTAATTGAATTCAGGAAATGAAACATTAATATAATTAAACATTGAAACTTTAATCTGTAGTCCATAATTCAGTTTTGATAATTGTCCCAGTTATTTCCTTTACAGCCTTTTCCCCCTTCAGTATTAGGATCCAGTTCAGGACTGTGGATTGTACTTAGTCATTTCTCTAATCTTCAGCTTTTTTGTTTTCCTTTCATGATGGTGATCTTTTTGAAGAAGACATAAGATGGGGAGTTGTTTGGTCAAAGGGTACAAAGTGTCAGTTATAAGTTCCGGAGGTCGAATGTACAGCATGGTGACTATTGTTAACAATACTGCATTGTATACCGAAACTTTGAGAAGAGGGTAGATCTCAAGCATTTTCATCTCACATGTGCACGTGTACACACACACACACACACACGCAGACACACACAGAAAGAATGTGCCCTGAGAAGGAGGTATATTCTCTGTTATCAGGGTGTAGTGTTTGCTGTATATCCGGAAGCTCTGCTTTACTGATTATGCCGCTTAGAACTTCTATATTCTTACTTATTGTTGGCCACTTGCCCTGTTTTGTACCGAGAGTGGTGTGTTAAAATCTTAGTGTTTTTCTATTTTTCCTTGCATTTCCTGTAGTTTCTATTTTACATAGTAGTTTCTGTGTTATCTGGTATGTAGATATTCATAACTGTTATATTTTTAATGTGAATTGTGGCTACTAGCATCATAAAGTGTCCTTCTTCATCTTGTTTAATGTGTTGTAAATTATACTTTGATGTCAGGATCACAGACCTTGCTTTCTTACTGTTTTTAATTTGCTCAGTATTTCTTTGCCCATCTCTTTACTTTAGCCTTTCTTATCTCTGTGTTTTAGATGTGTCTGTGGCATACAATACAGAGTTGGGGTTTGCTTTATGAGCCAATCTGAAATCTTCTAGTAGGTTTATTAGGCCCATTCATGTTATTGATATGACTGATATATTTGATCTCAGTTCTGTTATTTCATGTTTTAGTTGTGTTTTGCTATTTTTGAATTTTTATTTTGGTATTTAGGAGTGTTTATATTTTTGTTTTAATTACTTTTGCATTTATATGTCTCATAGTCCCCTTAGTCCCCTCCTTTTTTTTTTTCTTACTTGACCTTTTCAGAAACTGTTCTGTCAGTTTTTTTTTTTTTAAAGATTTTTATTTATTTGAGAGAGAGAGACACAGTGAGAGAGGGAACACAGCAGGGGGAGTGGGAGAGGGAGAAGCAGGCTTCCCGTGGAGCAGGGAGCCCGATGCGGGGATCCCAGGACCCTGGGCCCATGACCTGAGCCGAAGGCAGACGCCCAACGACTGAGCCCCCCAGGCGCCCCTGTGCTGTCAGTTCTAAGTGATATCCTTTGACTTTCATCTGTTGCCTATATGACATTTCATGATCATTTTCTATTTCCCCCTTTCTCCTTCTACTTTTTTTTTTTTTAAGATTTTTTTAAAAAAAGATTTTGTTTGTTTATTATAGAGAGATAGAGAGCATGAGCCAGGAGGAGGGGCAGAGGGGGAGAGAGAATTTCAAGCAGACTCTGCACTGAGCGTGGAGCCCGACTGAGCCAAAATCAAGAGTCAGATGCTTAACCAACTGAGCCACCCAGGAGCCCCCTCTTTGTTCTTTAAAAAATTTTTTTTAATCTTATTTTTGTTATCTGGTTGTTTTCCTCTTCTTTCACTGCCTCTTACTAAATATTAATTTGAATCTACTCTTCCATGGGCACTTTGTAATTTATTATTTTTATCTTTTTCTTCAGTTTCCTTCCTGAGTTTCATAAACTCTAATTGCATTCTTTTGTCTATTTGTGTTCTTACATTTTAATCTTCTGATTATAGATGTTTTGTTATATCTACATAGTTGTTTGAGGATATTTAATTCAGTTTAAAGTGTTATATATATTTTTTTCTAGTTCATGGTTGATTTTTTGCAGGGAAGACACTTTATCAGCTGAAATGCTCTGGTATTTTGACATACATTATGTTTTCTTTTTATAGTAAATTTGTTGAGTTATTTTTTTCAATTTTTGTGGGGTTTTTTTTTAGTTAGAAGGAACTTAAATATTGGGGTTATCTTTAGGTGGTTTTTTTTTTTTCCTTTGTGGAAATAGGATGAGGGCTAAAATTTTCTGATTTGGCGTGAAAATAAAGGAAATTACTTTAGATATGGGTAGTTGGTGGAGAGAGTTGCATAATTAGTGCTTTCCACACTTGCCTGGGAGAAACACCTGGAGAGTTTGTTTAAAAAAAAAAAAAAAGATTCCCAGGCCCTTTCCTTGAGAAGTCTGATTCATGAATCTGTGTTTTTAACACTCACTGTTAAGTGATTCCTCAGCCACATTTTGGGAAACACTGACATAAGTGATTCCCTTAACTCTAACTCCCTCTCCTGAAGCCTGGCAAGAAGCTGAGACAGGGAAGGTGTTCAGCACCAGAGTGAAGTAGGTCAGTGCATGAAACCAGGATTCCTTATTTACAGACATTGGCAGAAATAAAAATGTATGCTTATTAAATCTAGTGAGAAAATAGGTGTTGTGTTTGTAGTGTAGGTTTCTTCTTCAAAGTTATTTTTCTAAATATAGTTAAGACTGCCTAAATTTAACCTTTAATGTAGATAAATTCTATCATGAAAAGGTATGAAAATTCAAGATTATAAATCTTGATGAGTTGAGAAATGTGTTTTGTGACTTAAATTATGTTTAAAGCATTCTGCTACCAGAAATGGTTGTCTTGATTGTAAAGTCATTTCTTTAAAAGGCGAATCAAACGGGCACCTGCTGGCTCAGTTAGTAGAGCATGTGACTCTTGATCTTGGGCTTGTGGGTTTGAGCCCCATGTTGGGTGTAGAGATTACTTTAAAAAAATAAAATTTTTTTTAAGTGAATCAAACAGACTTAATGAGCAAAATTATAAAACTAAGTGATTGGGTGGGACTAAGGTGGATATAGCTTGTGGCAAGGAAGAGTTTGGGGGCCTGAGTGATGTGGATGATGTGGCCATAAAGGAAGAAAGCTGGTTCAGTGTAAGTAGCAATGTGGGCACAGATCGGATAGGATGTGTGGTATGAAAGGGAGCGCTAATTCAAAGATTCTGAAACAGGAGTTCTGTCTGTAAGGTGAGAATTTTTTTTAGTCAAGTCAGTGAATGTGAAGGAATCTTCTAGAAGAATCATTTACGTATTTAAGTATTACAGACTGATGTCCAGTTAACACATTTTTGACCATTATAGTGTATGCCTTTCATCGTAATGTCTTTTTATTCAGAGCACTGCCTATAACATTCTTTGCTTATAAAAATAATTTTTATTAGTCTTTGGCATTAAATTTCTATTAATCATAAAATAAGAAAACATTCTCAACCTTATAGCCCTTCTTTGCTCCTGTATGAAACCTTCAGGGCCTCTGTCCCTTTGGGACTGACAGTGGTGCTGACCATGGTACTGCCTGTGGTACTGTCCATGGTACTGACTGCAGGATTTGTAATTGTAACAGCTTGGTCTTTTCTGTTAGGAAAACTGACCTAAAATTAAAGCACATTTGAAAACTATAGTCAATAATAATGGTATTGTAATACACATATTCAAATTTCTTGATATATAGATGACACACACGTATATACACACATAGCTGTATGTGTATATGTGAATACACACATGCATAAATACACATGACATTAGAATTGGTTTTGAGTTTTTAATGCACAGAATGGTATCATACTTATGAATCTTTCTTCAGCACAGTTTTTTACTCAGTGTTATATTTTAATAGCCCATCCATCTTTTATACATTTAAATTATACACATTTTGTACATCTAAATTATACATACACATACAATATAATTTATAATACAATTAAATATACATCAAGTTTTAATTTTAATTGCTGTACAGTATTCCATATTCTGAATATGCCACATTTTATTCATCATTCCCCTACTGATCAGTGTTTTTTCAATGTGCGACTGTTACAAATAATGCTGCAAGGAATCTCTCTATAGATCTCTCTCTCTTTTTTTTTTTTTTAAAGATTTTTATTTATTTATTTGAGAGAGAGAGAATGAGAGATCGAGAGCATGAGGAGAGGGAAGAGGGTCAGAGGTAGAAGCAGACTCCCTGCTGAGCAGGGAGCCCGATGTTGGACTCGATCCCGGGACTCCAGGATCATGACCTGAGCCGAAGGCAGTCGCTTAACCAACTGAGCCACCCAGGCGCCCCATCTATAGATCTCTTTTTAGATAAATGTTCAGGAGTCTTTTTGATACAAACACCTGGAAATGGAATTGCTGAACCAACTTACTCATTTTTATATTAATATTTCATTCTGTACTTATCTTCACTATATGAGGAAACAATTAGGCTCTCTTGCTTATGAAAATTACTTAATGTGTAAACCTGTACTTTCTGGAAAATGTTAAGAAAGAACAAAACACCCAGAAGTGGAGGCAGGAAAGTCTTTTGAAACTTTCAGCTGAGATTTGAACTTACTCTTTGATCTTCAGTGAATTTTCTATTGAAAATGTTTATCTTTATGTGTGTCCCCCTTTACAATGGCAAACCAAAATATTAAAATATGATTATACAAGCAATTTCATTCAGAGAATTTATAGAAAATCTTCAGACATAACTCAACTGGCTAGACTATAAGAAATAAGTTTAGAACAGAATTTAAGGTATGGAAGAAACGTGAAGGTTTATGTAGTTCCATCTTCTTATTTTACAGATGTGACAAAGGCACAGAGAGCTAGATGATTTACTTAGATTCTTGTACTTAACTAACAGAATCTTTTTTTTTTTAAGATTTTATTTATTTGAGAGAGAGAGACAAAGATAGTGGCAGAGAGCATGAGTGAGCACAAGTGAGCACAAGCCAGGAGGAGAGGGAGAAGCAAGCTCCCCACTGAGTAGGGAGCCCAATGTGGTGCTGGATCATGACCTGAGCCGAAGGCAGCTGCTTTACTGACTGAGCCACCCAGGTGCCCCCTAACAGAATCTTTTGAAACACAGACTCCAACTCCAAAGTTCCTTTGTCTTGCCTCCTTTGTTATTAGCATGGAGATTTGGTTTTTTGCTGTTACATGCTGTTCATATAAAGATGAGTTAAAAACATGGTCCTTGCCGCCTTTTACATGTTGTACATGGAGTACCCACTCTTGAGAGTACTTACTCCCTGGCTATAGTAGGTGCTCAGTAAATATTTTTGTAGTATTAAAAAAGAAATGTCAAACTCTAAGTTGCTCTGGAGCAAACCCGCCTAGTAAATTTTGTTTCTCAAGCTTTTTTTTTTTTTTTTGTCCTACACACACTAACTTGCTAGGGCAAAAGAGTCCACACACTTCTCACGTTAGCTCTTGCTTGTGTCAAACAAAAATCTTGTTTGAAAGCAGCATGCTATGTCAACTCCACTGGCACTTCCTAGGCTGTCATTTTGTCCTCTGTTAAATGAGAAGGAGGAAGATGTAGAGACCGTGTGGGAAGGGTTGTGATTTCCCATAAGAGTCAGGTGAGGGTAAAGGTAGAGGGAGAGTGCTGGTCAGTATGTCCTAATTAATTCAGAGGGGAGCAAAATCTCCAGTGGTTTTATTATTTTCTTTAATCTGTGCCTGTGTGTCCCTCTGGTGACGGCCATGGAAAGCCCCCTTTTGGTCAAGTTCTGTTAGGCTTCATTTATGTGAAACTTTTAGTTACTCGAAATGCAGCAAGTATTTGGTGTCCTTGAGATTTTAAAAATGCTTCTTCTTTTTTTCCCCTAGTATCCTTATATACATTTGACAAGGCCAAACAGTGCATTGGCACAATGACCATCGAGATTGATTTCCTGCAGAAAAAGAGCATTGACTCCAACCCTTACGATACTGACAAGATGGCAGCAGAATTCATTCAGCAGTTCAACAACCAGGCATTCTCAGTGGGACAGCAGGTGGTTTTGAATTTTCTTTCATTCCTCCCATTTAATGGGCGTTCCAGTCTCTGTAGTTGTCCAAAATTAATTCTACTTTTTAGAAATTGCAAGGAGCTTCACATATGGACTGATATATCCAGTTGAGTGATAAAAAGTGATGGAGATGTGTTTACTGAACCTCTAAGTCCAGTCAGAAAAATTCTAAAGTAGCTTTTAGGTTACAGTGTCATATTTAATTACAGCAGCTCTTTACTCTGTAAATTTGGGAAGACTGCAAACTTATATGTCTCAGATTTCTTTTCTTGTTGTGGGACATTTGTTTTGTCTGTGGATCGTTTACTGATATATTTCTGTAGAAAAGTAATTCTTAACTCTTTTGGTTATAAACTAACTTGAGAATCTTAAGGCAAATATGTATATATATTTGCAGGTTTTTCATGGAACATCTGAAGCCCGGATTTTCTATCCTTAAAAGTGATATTGCTGATCTTGCCTTTTTTTGGACTTCAGTTAATATATTGTTAACCTCGTACGAAGAAATTCTGTTCTTTTAAAATTTTACTTAAAAAGCTGTGTGAGTTCATAAATTGCTGCTTGTTTGAACGCATAAATAATCATTGCTCTTTTGACCTCACCGTTATATTTGTCTCCATTTTTGTGACTTTCCTTAATTATTCCTAATTCTTTCCTCCTGTCATTCATAGCTCCATAGCAGTAGTTCTCAAAATGTGGTCCAGAGACTTCTGGGGGTCCCTGTGGCTCTTTCAGGGGGTTTGTGAAGTCAAACTTATTTTCATAGTAATACCAAGATGTTATGTCTCTTTTCTCTTATTCCCTCATGAATGTACGGTGTTTTGCAGACTTTGTGATGTGTGCTAGCTCATCAGCACACTGACTGTTAAAGCAGACATGAAGGTCCAGCTTTCTTCCATTAAGCAAGACATTAAGGAGATTTGCAAAAATGTGACAGTGCCACAGTTCCCACTTATGTTTTTTATTTTGGGAATTGGTGGGTTTTTTTTTATAAATTAAAAATATGTCATTTATATTCACACATAGTGAATTTATTGTCATTTTTATATTAATAAATACATTTTTAAGTTTCTTGTTCTAATTTTTACTATAGTGAATACCAATGGATATAATCCATTTAAACAAAGGCTCTTCAGGAATTCTCAAAAATTTTTAGGCATATAAAGGGATCCTGAGACCAAAAAGTTTGTGAGTCGCTGCTTATGGCGTTCTGATAGTGACTTACCTAGACTGTCCTTGCAGGCTCTCATCTGGGTAAGTGTGTGGAACAGTCAGGGAGAGAAGTGGTAGAAAGAACTAGCTCTTGGAATAAAGGAGTGTCACTTCTTTGGATTCTCTCATCTAAGTGAAATGGCATAAATCTGGAAGAACAAGACCAGGGATCTGGATAATCCATACGTTATGATAATCAAGCTTTCACAAGTGAAACTGAATCACTGATAGAAAAAGCTTATAGTGCACTTATTATTTATTTTTCAGAGTATTAGAATTAGAATGAACCTCAGAGGTTATCTTTTTTTTCCTCAGAGGTTATCTTGTCTAACTTCCTCATTTTGCAAATGAGTAATTTTTAAATTCAGAGAAGGTAAATGACGTGCCAATGGCTACACAGCAGGGCCATAGCTGAGACAAGAACCCATTAGTTAATTGAACAGTTAATTAATTAAACAAATATTTACTGGATAACCTAGTATATTTCAGCTACTATTTTAGTCCCAGCAGATCAGCAGTGAACAAAATACACACATTTCCTATTCTTACAGAGCTTACTCCCTAGCTGGGGAAGATAGAAACAAAGAACTGCCATGCACTGTTAAGTACTTTGATGTAAGTAAAATGGTGTACTAGAGACCCAGCGTGGTACTGCTTGAGATTAGAGGGTCCGGAGAGGCTCCCCAAGATGACAGTCCTCTGATCATTTGGTGACCCCCTGTCCATTGCTTTTTGAGCTGTGCTGTATTCCCTCTGGATCCCGACACTTTTTGATGAATAATTATGCTCAGATCACTTACCTAAACGTCACTGTTTTTGCCTTTTCCTTTAGCATTACTACTTTAATAGAAGATGCTTTGGTATTTGTAATCATTTAAAACCCAGTAGCATGCAGAGGTCTATAAACCCATGAGAGAAAAATCCTCCGTAATACAGAGAAGAAATAAATATCTTACCCCAAATCACTGTTCTTCGTATTGATTCCCATTTGTAGTGTTCAGTAGTGGCAGGACTGGCAGTCAGCTTTGCCTGCCATAGTTACTGTAGCAGGTAGAAGAGGGCCTTGGCTATAGAAGGCACTCAGTAAACACTGGGTGAATGAGTCTGCATTCAAAAGCTGTCTGTGCACTTGTATGGCAGGGATTTGTATTGGTGGTGGAAAGGCATGAATCTTCGAGTTGTAGACCCAGGACCCCAGCTCAAGTCCTCGCATTCTCGTTTACTATGACTCTGGCTTCCGTTGCTTAGGCCCTCCCTGGGTCTCAGCTCCCTTATTAGTAAAACTGAGGAAGACTCTCTGTTTCCGAGAGAGTTCATGAGCATTAAGTATAGGACCTCCTGTAGTGTTTGTTTGGCACATGAAGATGCTCAATAAATGTTAATTCCCTTTTCCTCTCATTGCCTGTGTGAGTAGTTTGCCTGTGGAGCAGAGTCGAGAGGGATATACAGGAGAAAGCTGCCTTCCCTGCATTTGGAAAACACTGGTGATGATGTGAGAATCCAGCCATTATATCAGGAAGTGATTTTTCTCCTCTTATCTCTTTTCTACGTAGCTTGTGTTTAGCTTCAACGAAAAGCTTTTTGGTTTGCTGGTAAAGGACATCGAAGCCATGGATCCTAGCATCCTGAAGGGAGAGCCCGCGACAGGTAAAAGACAGAAGGTATGTTTTATTTCTAATAGTCACCGTGATGTGAGTTGTGCAGATTAATACAACATTCCTAGCCATTCTCTTGCTCAGTGTTTTCTTTCATATTATGTACTCTTTCTTTTAAGGTAGTAGGGAGAAAACATTGCTTTTATAGCTAACACTGTTATCAAAATATAGCATAAATTACACTTATTTGCAGACTTAATAGTAATTTGAAATTTGTATGTACTCGTAATCCTGGTTGAATGCAGATGATATTTATTGCACACAAATAATAATAAGTCAGGCATTATCAAAGAATACATGCATTGAAATTAAATAGAAATAGTAGAAGGTAGGACAAAAATAAATGTAACTTAGATGATAGTTTGGAAGATTTGCTTTGCTCGAAGAGACCTTACTTCCCCCTTCATTTTTGGCCTTGCTTTGGGAAGTCCAGAAGTTCACTATTAGGCTAACTACTAATTATTGTCTTTCTATACAGATTGAAGTAGGACTGGTTGTTGGAAACAGTCAAGTTGCATTTGAAAAAGCAGAAAATTCATCACTTAATCTTATTGGTAAGATTTGCAATTTTTAGAAAAGTCTGAATGAAGTGGGACTATCTCTGTTATCGTACGTGACTCAACTACCATGATTTTCAAATCTGGCAGGAGAATAAGGGCACCTCTGTTGAGAAGGCTTATCACATAATCACACAGTATTTCATCACCGTCCGATGTACTGATACAGAGAAAAAGTTTGGGGCACCTGGTGGCTCAGTCAGTTAATCGTTTGCCTTCAGCTCAGGTCATGATCCCTGGGCCCTGGAATTGAGCCCCATATCGGGCTCCCTGCTCAGCGGGGAGCCTGCTTCTCCCTCTCCCTCTGCCTGCTGCTCCCCCTGCTTATGCTCTCTCTCTCTTTGTCAAATAAATAAATAAATAAATAAATAAAAATCTTTAAAGAAAAAAAAATTTAACAGGGCTCCTGGTAGGTGGCTCAGTCATTAAGCGTCTGCCTTCGGCTCAGGTCATGATCCCAGGGTCCTGGGATCGGGCCCCGCATCGGGCTCCCTGCTCGGCGGGAAGCCTGCTTCTCCCTCTCTCACTCCCCCTGCTTGTGTTCCCTCTCTCGCTGTCTTTCTCTCTGTCAAATAAATAAAATCTTCAGGAAAAAAAAAAAAAGCCTAAAACCTTCACTAGATCATTGTCCAATAGAAACAGAATGTGGGCCATGTGTAATTTTTAATTTCATAATGGTGACAGTAATCAGGAAAAAATACAGAATAAAATTGATGTTTAAACTTTTTTTTATAAGGATTTTATTTATTTGAGCGAGGAAGTGAGCGAGTGAGCACACGAGCAGGGACAGCGGGAGAGGGAGAAGCAGACTCGCCTGCTGAGCAGGGAGCCTGATGCGGAACTCGATCCCAGGACCCTGGGATTATGACTTGAGCTAAAGGCAGATGCTTAGCTGAAGGCAGACGCTTAGCCGATTGAGCCACCCAGTCGCCCCTAATTTTTAAACTTTTGAGATAAGTTCAGGTTTATGGAAGAGTTGCAAAAATAGTTCAGAGAGGTCCTGTATGTTTCACCAACTTCCTCCATGTTATATCCCAAATAATCATAGTACAGTTACCCAAACTAAGTTAACATGGTTACATTGCTACTAACTAAACTACAGATTTTATTTGTGTTTCACTAATTTTTTCATTATGTCCTTTCTGTTCTAGGGTGTGATTCACAATCTCACACTGCATTTAGTTGTTTAGTTTCCATAGTCTTCTCTGGTCTCTGACAGTTCCTCAGGCTTCCACTATCTTTATACGCCTGGGTGCATAACGTGTCTGTATGCACGTTGGGAACTGGTCGGTTATTTGTAGTCTGACCCTCACTTGGTGGTGTTTTAAGTGTGATACTAACATCACTTCTGTTAGTGATTAAGTTAAATGGTGAATGTGCAGGTAAAGAAAGTCTTCCCAACAGATTCACAGCTCAGTCCGACTCTTTTATGTTAGATAATGCAGATTGGACTCTAAGAAAAGTAACTCACCAGAATGATGATGTCATTAACTGTATAGTAATTCTGATTTGGGGTGATTTTCACTATGCCTATGTCTTCCCCAGTAGAAAGTAGAGGATTTTCATTGGTTGCACAGCATTATTTCCAAGGTTATTTACCTTCAAATATGTGACCTTTTTTCTTGATCTCTAAATTATCATTTCCTCCTTACTGTTTTTTCTTAATTTTACAATAAAATATTTGTTTCATAAAATATAGAAACATTCACTCAAAAACAACTCACACACTCTAAAATTTTAAAATTTGATTCTATTTTCATAATGTTTTATAATTTGTTGCCTAACATATTTCAAACCTCTTAATACACTCAACAATATAATTTTTAATGACTATATATGTTGTTATGGATGTAGGATTTATCAATCTCCTGTTACTGATCCAATACATTTCTGAAGTGATTTCTTTGTATTTTATACACCTTTCATACACCTTTTGTTAAGGTATCTTATCTTAAGAGAGTTGCATGACTTTCATACAATGTGGATATTTCTAAGTAATTCATGCAAAGGTGTGATTGATGGGCTTTTTTCCACTCATCAATAAAATTGTGTATTGATTTAGCATGCGGTAAATTTGGCCACAAGAGGGCAGTAGAGTGTAATAAATATATTTTTGATTCCTTTATAAAGGTAATAAGTCCTCAAAACCCTAACCCATAAAATCACCATCCAGGATAAACTTTTTCTAATGTGACCTTTTAGTCTCTAATTTAAAAAAAACGATATTTTCTTTTTTGTTTACAGTAGAGTGAACTGAGGTACTTTTATTGTTTTTGAAATGGCTAATGTGGTTCTCTTGAGTTACTTTAGGTGGCACTATGACATTTAAGTTAGATAATTTTTATTTGTGAAAAGTAGAAAACAATTTTGAAATCATTAAGACTTTAGGATGATTTTAGACTTTTGTGTGCAAGTGGGGTAAAAAACAAATAAGACATCAGACTTACTCAATGCATCCTCTCAGGCTAAGGGGTTATATACACAGTTTATAAACTTAATCTAGATAAATATATGTATTTTTAAATACACTTGCTTCAGGAGCCTTGAGGGATTGCTAGATTTCAGTTGCATTTCTAGCAACTAGTGTTGTCTTCATCAGATGTACACATGGTGTTTCCTCTCATCAGCCCAAGTTAGTTAACTTTGTTAGGTTTAGAGGTTAATAAGACCAAGCTCCATGGATTGATCACAAATGGACTACCGCATGAGTTTAGACATTTCTGAAATGTTTTACTGGCCCTAAGTGGGTCCAGACAAAGTAGTTAACATAGCAAAACTCATTCTTCTTATTAGAAAATCAACTAAGAGCATGTTCATTTTTGCATAGGGTAGCTTCTCTAGCTTCTCTTTTCATTAAAAATGCCCAGTGATTTCTGTCTTTTTTCACCCAGTAATGGAGTTCTTGTTTCACATTTGATTACCTTTGTTTGACATAGGCAAAGCTAAAACCAAGGAAAATCGCCAATCTATCATCAATCCTGACTGGAACTTTGAAAAAATGGGAATAGGAGGTCTGGACAAGGAATTTTCAGATATTTTCCGACGAGCATTTGCGTCCCGAGTATTTCCTCCAGAGATTGTGGAGCAGATGGGTGAGTTTAAAAAGGAAAATTTGATAAAAATCTTGTTTAAAAAAAAAAAAAATGAATGCAATGAAATGAAATCTTTTTTAAAATAATGTTCTAAAATTATTTTTCAGACCTGCCAGTATATTTTTGTTTTAACTTTTTCTTTTAAAAAAATGTTCTAAAATTTTTTTTAAGTATTAGAATTTTTAAAATTACATTTTAGTTTTATAGGGAAGATAGAAATATTTGGGGTTACTTTATCTTATTGATTTATTTATTAATTTAAGTATGTGTATGGACATTTTTAGAAATTTCATTTTATTTATTTATTTATGAATGTTTTTCTCTAGGGCATATTTAGGAATTTCACCTGACTTTAAAGATCCACTGTAGGTCTAAGATTTACCCTGTTGAATCATCATTACCTACTAGACTGTGGGCATTGTTCTTACGTTAGCTACCGCTTCTTTTTATTGTGCTGTTGCATTACCCAATTAGTACATCTTCATACCTAGTAAATGGATTCTTGGCATGTTTTTCAATTAGATAAGTTTGATCCAAAAAGACAAATGCAGGATATACATGGGAGTTTCCATATTGCATATAAAGAAATGTGCTATTCATTTATCATTTCCTTCTTGAAGGTTTATTTAATTTATCTGTGTGTGAAGTGGCTTTATTTGCCCTAGTGGAAATGCTGTCATGACTGTTTTCATATCCATATCATAGGTTGAATTGGAATGTGAGCAATAGAATATCTGAGAAAGGAATTTATAACATAATAGCTTCTGGCAGACTATTAGTATAAAAACAGTATCTAAAAAAAACCTGAAGGAATATGAATATATTACTCCCTTCGCCTCCATCATTCTTTATCTTTACATTGCTACTGGCAGATAAAAGTATGGTGGGGAAAAGAACTGCTTTCTAGGCACTAAGTGCTTGGTTCTATTAGCCTCCTATTGTTGGTAGCCTTTCTGCCTGGCTGTTCACTCTGATAAATTACAGGCATAGCACACACCTGTTCTCTGGGTAAAGGTCGAGTTTGGAGTTGGATTAAGAGAAAATGACAGAGACCCTCATCACCTGAGTTTTATACACCTTGAGATGGCAATAACATACTTTTTTTATCTGAAAGATAACAAAGGCCAAGTCCATAAAAAACAGAATTTTAATTTGGAACATAGTAAAAAATGTGGTAATTCACTATCTTGGTAATGTGTATTTTGAAGCACAGTAAGTCCATAAAGCTTTTTGATTAAGACATGGAAATGTTGTTTGCATATATTTTGGGTATCAGGAGAGATAAAAGGATGATTTTAAATGTTTTGTTATTCTTATGGCATATTTTTTACTCGTTTTCAAGGCTGAGCTCAGTGCAGAAAGAGTCTAATGATTCTGTTTCTTTGAACATTTATATTATCTGGCCAACAAGTAGAAAAATAATGGCTTCTGTAATAAGCTATATTTTTAATTATATTATAAATATTTTCTCACAGTTTTTGGAAGCTATCAAGGATTCAGTTATTCAGATATGTGTTTCCTGTTTGTGCATTATCCAAACCCTGCTCATGAGGGCCTCTGTCTGCAGTTGGGCAGATAATACGAAAGGAGCAAAACTCATATTGGTTGATTTGTGACTTTGCCAGCTGTTGGAGAGTTTGGAATTAAATCAAAACAGATTTGGAATTTTTGAGTGAATTTAGTCTGTGTTTCTGCAATCCATATTGAAATCAGTTAAATTATAATAATTTTCTTTTTGTTATTGTCAACATGTTTTTTGACTAAGAATCATGGATTTCAATTTTGTTTGTGAGGGCTACTATCCAGAACCTTTTTTGTGGATTTATTTTTCTAATATTTTTACATTAATTGGATAAAAAATGAGTTCTGTTCTTAAAAAAAATTTTTTTTTCTCTTTATGGCTTTTTGCCAGCAAGATGCATGTTATCAATTTGATTTAAAAGACAAAAAGTATAAAACTATCTTTGCTTTTGAGCTAAATTGAAAGACATTATTTTCTTTATTCTGAATGAAGATTGTCAGTGTCCTAAAGCTCATTTTTATGGTAAAATGGCTGAGAAATAATTCTCTTGCTATGCATTTGTCATTCCTCATTTTCCATTAGAGTCTTCTTTTTTCCTTTGAGTTTTGGGGGAATTATATAGTGGAATACCTCATTGCAGTCCAAGAACAGTGTGGTTATAAAATTCTCATTAGGCTTTGGTAAAGGTATATAAAAGTATAGATTGCTATATTTGGATAGAATATAAAAACAACCCTGCACAAGTTCTTTTTATTATACCCTGTGTTCTTTTACCCTGATAGGTGGGAACAAAATTGTCTGATTTTTTTTCCTCTCTCTTTATTAACTAAATAGCTAAACTTCTATGGTTTGGGGATCCGATTGGACACTGGGTCTGATTGTTTCAATCAGTTAAAATGGAAAAAAATAGTGATTAGAAAAGAATAATTTATGTAGGTTATGGGGCTGTTTTGTTTTGTTTTAAGCAGAGAACCTTTTTTACTTTTGGCTTGAGACCAAATCATTGTGTTTACCATGAAGTCTAGAGTTATGTCTACTTTGTAAGTAGGAATCCTAACTAAATGGATCTTTTTGCCTGTATATCAAAGTTGCAAGTTCACAGAGTGATAGATTGAGAATTCTCTTCTCTCATTGTGTTTATGAGTGATAATTTTGCTTCTAGGTAAGACAGTTCTTTGCTTTTGCTTGTAAAACTTCATGTTCCTTTCCACGATTGTGGATGTAGTTTGGAAATGTGCAGAATGTTGTGGTGAGGTCTATGAAGACCAAAGGGCTAACCAGAGGCACACAGTGATGCAGGAACATTCGAGGTCAGGTGAGGTCAAGCACATGCAGTAAATGTCCTAGGAGCACGTTCTGAGTCCCATGATAGAGGTGTGGGCATCACAAAGTGGAGTCTGAAAGTCTCGGTGAATAAACTCAGAAGCTGATTGCTGTCCTTGAGCACAGTCAGGTGTCTGTTGAATATATACTTGTGTTCAGACATTTACCACACTTACTCCTTTGCACGTGGTTTTGTGGAGAGTGTTGCGGATAATTGATTGAGTCCCTCAGTTCTTGTTGTGGCTCTTTTGTTGGCAAAGATAGAGATTCTTTAAAGAATCTTCATTTTTCAGCATCCCTGGCAATTACCCCTAAGTTGTAAATGCCAGGGCAAAAAAACCCACCAAAAGTCCTCTTCAAAGGACAGTGGAATGATTGTTAAAGAAGTAGCATCGCTTAAAGTAGTTTTAGGACTAGGTTTACGTGTAGCCAAGGAAAGGGGCTTTGGCAGAAGTTACCCATTTTAGAGCTGGAAGGAAAAGGGTGTGCAGACTGAGAGGGCCTCCAGCCTCACACTGCCTTTTGGTGGCTCTATACCTCTCAGAGATCCAGGCCACCTAGCGGGGAGGAGAGCCTCTGTGATATCTTGTGCCCCCCTTCTTTGAAATGACTCTGTTCTTTTTGGTCCCCTTTCTCCATACCTCCCTCTCTAAGCCCATTTTCAATCTGTATTTTTAAGCTTTCTTTTGAAATTCTAGAGGAAAGCAACTCTTCTGATACCGTAAGTGAAACTGCAGTTACTCTATGGAGTAGAACGCCGAGAAGATAAGGAGCCTCTCAATCATATGCAGACATCTTTCACAAGCTAAAAACAGTGCAAATAAAATACGGTGGAAGAAAGGGCACTGAGGTTTTGTACGCGCCATATTTGGGGGAGAGGGAGTTCTTGCTCAGATTAACATAAACACTGACGCTCTTAAGATGCATTTTCACACCCCCACTCATGAGGAGAGATTGCAATTTAAATGGGGGTTAAGACATCTAGCCGAACTCCAGGGCTCTGTAAAAGGAACCCTAAGGCTAAAGAGCTTATCTGAAATTTGAAAAAAAGAAAAAAAAAATGAAGCTTTCTGACATTCATCTTTTTTCCTTGTATTAGTCATAACTTGCTTTTCAGCTATATTTTAGGTTTTGAATGCCAACCTGACATCTGTTCAAGTCTGCCTGTAATTTATTAGGAAAGGAAAAGAAAGCAGTTGCTCACTAGTTAGAGATGCAAAACTTCCCCCTTCTGCTTTTCCACCAAATACTTATAGATGATACTTGAATATGAAGAAGTAGTAATTTACTAATTAACTAATTCCGACTTCATATTGGGAAATTTGTAAAGTTGTTTTTTTTTTTTTTTAATTAGAAGAAGAAATGGCTTATGACCATGTGATTTCCAAAAATCTCTAGAACAAGATTTAGAGCTAAAGCACACACCGTAAAAAAATACTATAGGTGCTTTTTTTATAAGTTGAAATTTTTAACCTTGAATTAAATTCTTGCATTGGTTTTAATTTTTTTAAAAGATTTTATTTATTTATTTGACAGAGACACAGCAAGAGAAGGAACACAAGCAGGGGGAGTGGGAGAGGGAGAAGCAGGCTCCCCGCTGAGCAGGGAGCCCAATGCGGGGCTCGATCCCACGATCCTGGGATCATGACCTGAACCAAAGGCAGACGCTTAACGACTGAGCCACCCAGGCACCCCTGGTTTTAATTTTTTAAATAAAATTTACTTATATTTGAATAGAAATAATGTAGCTCATATGCTCATATCTCAGAGTCAAACCATACGTAAATTCAGTCAGCATTTTTTATTAATAGATAAACTTTTAGAAATAAATCTTTGTGAAGGCAGAACTGCCTATAGAGTCTAAGCTAATGGATTAGATTTACTGGCAACTACAGGTGAGTTACGGATCAGTAATTGGGTCACTGGTCTGAGTTTGAAACTATATGTCCAGCAGTAAGGAAATAGTAAACTATGCTACATGCTCTTACCCTTGCTATGGAATACAGTGAAGCGGGTCTTAAAATGATACAGCTCCCAATGTATAGAGCTGTTTTAATAAGAAATATATATAAAACTGAAAGTTAAGTGCATTACAGAAGTCTCTATGAACACACATTAAGTTGAAAAAACATTATGTGAAAGGGAAGTTAGGATG